AGTTTTTACTTTCCAGGGGTGAGGGGGGAGAACCGCAGGAGGGGGGAGGGGGGAGGGGGGCTGGGGGAAAGGGGAGGTTGGAGGGGTTCGCGGCAATTCGCATTTCTTGGCTGGCGAGCGGGGTCTGTGGCCGTGCGGGGGAACACAGGCGGGTCTTTCCATGGGGTGCGACGACAGTCTAACGCTCAGCTGCCTCGGGTCTGGGGCAGCCCATTCGCATCTCGAGCCTGACGAGCGCATTCGCGCGCGACGTCCTGTCAGCGACATCCTCCATCGCCTTTTCTGCTCCGCTGTTGCGCCAGGCGGCGGCGGGCGTGGGCGCAGGGGTTTCCTCTCGTCGATAACTGTTGTCTGTGGTTCGGTGTCTGCGCTTCGACATCTCGTCTCTGCGTCCTGCGTCAGCAAGTGGCCACCGCCGTCTGCGCTGACCCCTTGTCGAACAATTGCGCCATCGTGTGCGCTTCCTCGTCGTCGAAGAACTGCACCTCCTCGAAGAACTGTGAGCCGTCAAAGAGCAGCGCCATCGTGTGCGTTGTACCCTCTTCAAGGTAAAGTGTTGTTCTGCCTGCCCACGTGTCAGGCATGTTTGCCGGCCCATGGGAGCAGCCCCATGATTCTTGCGTGCCATCATCATCATCATCGCCTCCATCATCACCATCATCGTCGCCACCGCCATCAGCGTCATCATCTTCATCATCGTCATCATCATCACCATCATTGTCATCGTGATCATCATCATCTTCATCAACATCATCATCATCATCAACAACATCATCATCAACCTCGTCAACGTCATCAACATCGTCATCATCATCGACATCATCATCAACATCATCAACGTCATCAACAACATCATCATCATCAACGATATCATCGTCGTCGTCGAAATCACCACCATCGTCCTCTTCGTTGTCATCGTCATCATCAACATCGTCATCATCGTCATCATCATCATCGTCGTCATCACAATCATCATCATCACGAACATCATCATCGACATCATCATCGACATCATCATCGTCGTCAACATCGTCATCATCGTCAGCGACATCGTCGCCCGGATCAACATCACCACCGTAATCGTCACCATCATCGTGTTCATCACCGTCGTCATCATTATCATCATGTCGTGCCACGTGTCGCAAGTGGCTGGGACGGCGGGAATGGATGACGTGGAGATCGGGGCACACGGTTAGCGAGTCCCGTTCTGCTTCACTCTCATTCGTTCCGCGCGACGGCCCCCACGATTCTTGTTTCGCTTGGCATTGAAGAAAAACGGTCGTTGATCACGAGCGGGACATTGCAAACCGCTCCCGCGCGGTCGAGGCAAACACGAAATTGCCTATTCCCAGCGGAACACGAAACCCCTTCGAAACACTTCCCTCGCTCGTTTGCTGTTCTCATCAAAGAGATTAGAGGTTGGTTATCACAAAGGAGACGCGTGGGCTGCGCGCGACCGCTGTTGGTACTAAGCGTCGTGCGGTGGCCACGGTGGGAAGGATGTCCGCCGTCCACGTGGCGTGCAGTGAGAGGTAAGGTATTCATAAACAGGAGGGGGTCGTCGTTCCGTGTTCCTGTTCTCGCCGCAACACTTGAGCCTCCCCCCCCGAAGAGACTATGGCGTCAATCACGGGAGAGTTGTTGTCGTCTCCATCCCGCGCACACAACATGCACATGATCCACCATAGAGGCCATGGATGTTGAGCGCGCGCTCCTGGCGGTGGTCGTGAGGGATGCGATGTCGCATTCCGCACGACAAATGACAGGACTGTGCGTGCAACATACGCGGGCTCTAGAACGAAGAATGCACACGTTGCGTGCGCGCGATGGAGAACGCCTGCGCCGCTCGCTGCAATGACGATGGCGTTTCTTCGGCGTGAGCGCCACATGTTTCGTGACGACAACCTCGACACAAAAACATGGCCTCGTTCAGTAATGAACAATCCGGTCGCCTCCGGGAAACGTTTCAGTCATCGGGGCAAGGGGGGTTGCCATTGTCACCGCAAGCTCGAAACCAACAACAGCCAAACAAAAAATGGCGCGTGGTGTGTGGTTGTCTGGCGAGATGGGAAGTTCAGATCTCGGCGAACTACAACAATCATGCGGAGTGCTCTCGCGAAAGTAGCAATCTGTTGCCGTCGCGCGGCCGCAGGGAGAGCACGCGCAGGTGCGAAAATAGCGCATGATTGTTGTAGTTCGCCGAGATTCGAAGTTCCTATTTTTTTGGCGGTTGTTGGTTTCGCGTTCGCAGTCACAATGCCATCCCGGGTTGCCCTGATGACTACGTTTTGCGGGACACAGTTCCCATCTTTCGGACGTGGGGTCGATAGTTCATAACGCCATGCCAGTTTTCAGCGTGCGACGAAGTTCGGATCCCGGCGGACTAGCAATCTGAAGCATGCGAAGTCGCGTGTTGCTCGGATGATTATTGTTGTTTCGACCGCGTCGCTTAAATAAGACGCTTACAATTTGCATGGATCTTTTCAGAGTCCTGGTTGCATGACTGTTCTTTTGTTGGCGTTGCCGCAAAAAAAAAAAAGTCCTACCAACGGGACCCTAGCAAAAACAAAGTGTTTAATGCTCCCGGTCGAACGCGGCAACCGATCTAAAGTTCGGATCCGGGCGGACTTCGTGGTTGGCACCCGTACGTGGTCCCATGAACCTAGCTGTGGAACCTGCCATTGCCCGACTGCGAGCTCGCCTTGTCTGCGGTGCTATCAGGGGTCCACCAGCCGTAGTCATTTTTTTTTTTTTGCTTGCAGTCATTGTCATCAAGGATGGCAACATTTGCGACTGGATCGCCGCAAGTGCTCGCTTTGTCGATGAGGAGAATCGGGGTCCATGGGGGTCTATTGGGGGCCACACTGCGCCAATTTCCGACGTGGTGCACCTGGGACGACCATTTCTGTTGTGCGTGCTCTATTGGAACAAAGACTTGTGAGTAGCAGCAGGGCCTCCCTGACCATGCAGCCAAGCCTGGCGTTCCTTCTGTGCAATTCCACACCAGTCGTCCAAATATCCGTCGTCCCCCGCGCAAACCGTTTCTTCGCCAGTCCAGCAAGCGCCAAGTTCGGATCCTGGCGGACTTTGGGGTCCCGCATAAATTTAACCCCCGTTTTCGACGACCACGACTGTCGAGTGTGTTCTGATTACCAGAGGCCTCCGGGCACACAAAAGTGCTCGCATGAGGCGTGGAGCTTCAAGTGTGAGTTGATTGCGCGAGGACTGTGGGTGGGAAAAATTGCTCACCTTCTGAGATGCCCTTCGAGGGGTTTGTGGGGGTTGCCGACGGTGATAGCGGTCGTGTCCCTTGTCTGTGTGCCGTCGATCTTTGTTGCCCCCAAAGGGTTTTGAACGTCCCGGTGCGCGGATTCTTAGCGCACACATACTCGTGTTTCTGTGTGGTTTCCGGTTCGTGCTTTCTCACGTCGACGTTACCGGCGGGCGAATCGAGGGTCGCCTTGTCGACTGGCCGAATCGGGGTTTGGAGGGGTTGCAGGGGGGGTCATTCATCAGTTTCTACATATTTCTTGTCTGCGCGGTTGGGATGTCCGATCTCGATGAACTCTTGCACTAGGGGTCAGTTTGGGGTCGCGCTGCGCCCGATTTTGTGGTGGTGCATCCACCGCTGCCCTTTGCTCTGCGCGTGCTGATGTTCAACGACAGCTTGAGAGCTGCAGAGCCTTCCTTTTGTGCGGCCGAGGATAGCATTCCTTGTGTGCACCCACAAACACTCCGTTCCACTGACACCGGCCGCGCAAAAATAGGTTCCTTGCTACTCCCGCACCGGCCAAATTCGGATCCCGGAGGACTTCGAGGCGCCGCATAAATCTGACCGTTGTTTTCAACGGCTTGGACTTCTCCATCCGTCTTCAATGTCGGCGGCCTGGTATTGCGCAAAACTGCTCGCCTTGTACGTTGCCCTTAACGGGGTTTATTGGAGTTGACGACGGTGTCGCTGGCCGGGTCCATTTCCGGTGTGCCGTGGATCTTCGTTCATCGGCGCCCCAAATTGCGGTGCACCCGAGCAACGCCTGCTTCTGTGCAAACGCCATCTACCCATTACGAATGCAGGCGAATCCACCTAGTTCGGATCCTGGCGGACTTTGATGATCGACGCGAATCTATCCGTCCTTTGCGTGGCGCCTGGAGCTTCGAGTGTGAGTTAATTGCGAGAGGACTGTGGGTGCGAGAAATTGCTCGCCCTCTGAAATGCCCTTCAAGGGGTTCATGGGGGTTGCCGAAAATAAGGGACACGGCCGTTGCCACCGTCGGCAACCCACATAAACCCCTTCGAGGGGATTGATGAAGGCGAGCAATTTTTTGCGCCCACAATCTTTGTTGCCCCCCTAGGTTTTTGACCGTCGCGGTGTGCGGAGTCTTGTCGCAGAATCGGGGGTCGCCTTCTAGACTGGCCGAATCAATGTTTGGAAGGGTTGAAGAGGGATCTTTCATCCTTTTCTACATTTTTCTTGTCTACGCACTGGGGATGCTCGAGTTTGATAAGCTCTTGCGCTAGTACCTGTGAATGGAAAACTGCACGAGCTCGCTTAGACGATGGTGAGAATCGAGTTTATGGGGGTTAGTTTGGGGTCACGCTGCGCCGAATTGTGTGGTAGTGCATCCACCACTACCCTTTGTTCTGCGCGTTCTATCGTTCACCGACAACAGAGCTTTCCTTCTGTTCGCCCAAACATAGCGTTCCTTGTGTGCACCCACTAGCGCTACCTTCCACTGACACAAGCCGTGCAAAAATAGGTTCCTTGCTACTCTTGCACCCGCCAAATTTGGATCCCGGCGAACTTAGAGGCTCCCCGTAAATCTTACCGTTATTTTCAACAGCTTGGACTGCCCAGTCCGTCTTCAATGCCGGCAGCCTGGTAGTGCGGAAAAGTGCTCGCCTTGTGAGTTGCCCTGAAAGGGGTTTATTGGGGTTGACGATGGTGCCACTGGCCGGGTGCATTTCCGGTGTGCCATGGATCTTCGTTCATTGTCGCCCCGAAATGCGGTGCGGCCGAGCATCGCCTGCTTCTGTGCAAACGCCATCCACCCGTTCCAATACCTGCAGCCGCGCGAAAACCTGTTACTCGCTGCAGGCAAATCCGCCAGGTTCGGATCGTGGAGGACTTTGAGGATCGGCGCAAATCTATCCGTCCTCATCATGGCGCCTGGAGCTTCGACTGTGAGTAGATTGCGAAAGGACAGCGGGTGCGAGAAATTGCTCACCCTCTGAATTGTCGTTGAAGGGGTTCATAGGGGTTGCCGAAAATAAGGGACATGACCGTTGTCACCGTCGGCAACCCCCATAAACCCTTTCGAGGGCATTTCAGAAGGCGAGCAATTTTTTGCACCCACGATCTTTTCTGCCCCCCAAGGGTTTTGACCGTCGCGGTGTGCGGAGTCTTGACGTAGACATGCTTGTGTTTATGCGTGTTATCCGGTTCGCGCTGTCGCACGTCGACGTTCCCGGCACGCTAATCGGGGGTCGCCTTCTCGACTGGCCGAATCAATGTTTGGAAGGGTTGAAGGGGGGATCTTTCATCCTTTTCTACATTTTTCTTATCTGCGCAGTGGAGATGTCCGTGTTCGATAGTTGTTGCACTAGTGCCAGCGAATGGAACACCGAACGAGCTCGCTTAGACGATGGTGAGAATCGGTGTTTATAGGGGTCTGTTTGGGGTCGCGGTGCGCCGAATTGTGTGGTGGTGCATCCACCATTACCCTTTGTTCTGCGCGTGCTATCGTTCACCGACAACAGAGCCTTCCTTCTGTTCGCCCAAACATAGCGTTCCTTGTGTGCACCCATTGGCGCTACCTTCCACTCCTGCACCCGCCAAATTCGGATCCAGATAAACTTTGTGCCCTCGACGCGTAAATCTCACCGTGCTTACAGTTTGCTCCGTTGTTTTGCAGGGTGTGGACACGAATTCGAATGACCCGTTCGACCCGCACAAGAGAGAATAATCCATTGCGCTGACGGGTATCGCATCCGCTGCACCGACGGTTGCATGACGGCGCCGAAGAAGGCTCGGCGAATGGCCGCATGAACCGGGCTATGGAAACTGAACAAGCCGTCGACTTGCATTGCCAGCTACAACACCTGGAGTTGGCCCCGACGACCTCTTCGGACAGTTCGCCGTTCCAACAGTCAGCTGCGGATTTCCCCAAAAAAGGAAATCTCGCTTTTTGTGAGAGTTTTGGAGGTTGCATCCAACTGCCTATAGAATTGGCAACAACGTCTGCGGCCGAAGAACCGTCTACCTCCCGGATAGAGTTCCACATTCCTGGCGAGGTGCACCCCACAGCTTCGGCGCACAGCAGTTGCGTGCCAATGGGTGTTTTTTACGCATCGTCTGATGACGAGAGTGAGCGGTTGGTGGCCACTGATTACTCGTCTGGACAACGGTCCTATTCCAGTGGACCTTTGCTTCGCGCTAGCTCCGGTACTACTAACTTGGTTGCCACCGACTATTCTTCGGAGGAGCTTTCCACAACACGGGCGAGTCCAACGCATATGCAAAGTGATGATGCGATTCCAAGTCAGAGCCAGTGTGGGTCGAAATCGTCTGGCAGGGGTGATGCAGAGAGAAGGGCGATACTGCAGATTTTGCCCGTACCTATGCAAGGCGAAAGACGAAGGTATAGCATGGCTAATAGGAACGCTAGGAGGAAAGAACAGTATAAAAGAGCGAGAAACATGCTGTCCGAAAAAAGACTGCTCATGGTGCGCAGCATGGCATGTTGCAAGGCTCGATGTTGTTACGACATGTCGCCTGAGGAAGTGTGAAAGGTTAGACAAGGACTGTACAGTAAGAGTCCGGGAGAGCGAGCTGACAGGTGGATGAAAAGTATTAAGGATTTCACAGGAAATAAGAGTGGACAGAAACGTGTCCGCCCTGTGGAGTTGGAACGTTCAATGTGCATCAGGGCATACTGCAATGTACTCAGTGTCTCGAGCAATACATTTTACAGCTACAAAAAACGTTTCGACAATGGCTACGTGCGTTCCGAGCATGGCCTGACGGGAAAATATAGGCCAACAAATAAAACGGTCGCCATGCTTGCCAGCATGAGAACGTTCATCGAGTGTCATGCGGATAGCATGCCAAATGAGGTGGCTAACCAATGTGGCGTTTCCAGACCGAAGCTTCGACTCCCGGCTGCTTTCACGAAGAGATCAATTTATGAGTCCATCAAATCCGACTTTCTGGCCGCTGGCCTCGATGTTGTGTCTGAGTCCAACTTCTATAAGTTGTGGCGGAAACACTTTTTCCACGTTTCCCTCGCACAATCTAACACGTTCACGAAGTGCGCCGTCTGTCATGAACTGAAGGAACGTATACAATACACTGCTCTTCCTCGAGATCGAGAACGTGCTCGAGAGGATATGAAAGCACACCAAAGGAGGCAAGTTGAACACAGATTGGACTACAGTCGAGCGAAAACTGATTCCATGGTTCGTCTGAATGAGCGTTTGTGTCTCATCATTGACGGCATGGATCAAAAGAAAACAACTATCCCCCATATTGGTCAAGCAAACTACTCGAAAGCACTTAGGCACGAGATGATGATGAAGACTAATCTGACAGGCGTCATTGCATACGGCAGAGACCCTAGTATATATGTGTACACGTGGTTTTCGTATTTCAAACATGATTCCAACACGGTCGCTACTTGTATTATGAGAACCCTTGTCGAAATTCAAGGGAACGAGACGCCACTGCCACGGTTTTTGCGCATTCAAGCAGATAATTGTTGGCGGGAAAACAAGAACAAGTACATATGTGCCCTGGCTGCAATGTTGGTTAAGTTCGAAGTTTTTGAAGAGGTAGAAATAGGTTTCATGCTGGTGGGACACACCCATACAGACGTTGACGCTACTTTCAGCGTTTTCTCGAAGAAATTGAAAGACGTAGACGCTTATACTATGGACGAGTTCTTTGAGCTCATAGCGCAATCCCACAGAAAGCCCCCCAAATGTATTTTCCTCGATATGATGGAAGATTGGATTAGTATAGTGGACCCGTGCGTTGCGTCAGACATTACCGGTATTTCAAAACCGCACTTGCTTAAATTTTTGATGGTTGGAGATAGTCCGGGCATGTTGTACAAGGAGTTTTGCGATGACAAAGAATGGTTGCCCGAGGAAGGTCCTATTTGGTTCAATCAAAMCCCCGATGAAAGCTATGCTGGTCCTTCGTGGCCGTTTGACCCGCCTCATGTGCAACCCCTTCCGCGAAATGACTATTTGAATGGCAAAAATGGTGTTGTTCGATTCCGCGAGTTGCTGGAGAGTAGGCGGTCGACGTGGTGCACTTACAATGACCATGAGGAAAGTAGGAGAGAAAGAGCTTTGTGTTATTGGGAGGAGGTTATCAAACATGGCGATGAGATCATCGCCAACGGGTTGTCCTCACAACCCCAGGGAAGTTTTTTGCCACGACCACGGCTGCTCGAAATCGATCAACAACCTTCTCCTCACAGTGTCAACATCGATGATGACAGGGAACCGCTGTTTGTTGGTCGAAGAAAAAATCGCCCGAAGACTAGTTTCGACCCCCTCGTGCATGTCGACGTGGGCACTTTTCTTATCCTTCGCCCCTCCGACGATGATCTGTCCAGCGGTGTGCCAATCTGGGTGGGCAAAGCTCTTTCTCGGGTGGTTGTTGATTGTAATTCGCAAAATTATAATCAAGTGCTAGTGGAATATTGGTTGCCGACTTGGAGAGCAAAGTCGCTTGAACAACTGTATGAGAACGCATGGGAAAAACGATGGAAAATGACTGACCAGACACAATGGCAGGATGCTGACTCGATCGCTTTTGGTTGGGAGAGACCGGTCCGTGGTACAAGACCATTCACAACTGGACTTGTCATTCCTT